CTTGAAATGAAAAGAACAGAAAATAGGACATCTAGAGATAGAACTGAGCTGAAATCAAAATAGAAGTGATTGAATATGGTTTCATCAATTCTATTATTTTCTTGGTTGGATTTTTTAGTGTGTACTGTTAAGATAAATGAAAAATATCTATAATCGAATACTATCAAAGGGAACAGATTCAATGTGGTCAACCAAGACAAAAGGAGATTGACAGTCAATTTTTTAAAATTCAACTAGAGATTTAAAATCTGTGTGCTTGTCCTGTGTTAAAAAAAGATAGAAAAAGTTCTACCATCTCTGCTAGGTAGACAGTTGTCCTTAACATCTTCCCCCTGGGTCTAAAAATACACAACATACACCAAGTAGGTTAACAAATGGAAGAATATCATATTCTCTAATTTTAAAGCACTTCTTGTTACTGTGTGAAATTTTCAGATTACTCACAATGCTTAGAGTTATACTTCATAATATATTCTCATGTAAAGGTTAACAAAACTGGGTCTATTTATAATTTATTACATCTCAGAACTCATAACCAGACATCACCTGTAATAACTGTCATGTATTCTGTATGGTCTTAAATTCATGTTCTACTACAATTCATCAAAAGCATTGTATAAACTACAAAAGAATTTCATCTCTATGGGTGCATGCTTAAAATAAGAAATGGAAGAATATCATCTCTCTAGATCAGTAATGTCCCTTGGTTCCCTTCTTCCTCCCCTTGAGATGTAAATTAGGTAATTATCAAAAGACATAGAGAGAACTGGACAACAAGTGGCAGGGCCTCAACACCAGCTGCTGGGCCTAGGGCTACTGTTGGCCTTGTCTATGGGCAATGCCCTACTTGGAATGTCAGGTGGTCTTCTGTAACACAGGTGCTTACTAGTTTGCCCAACCCTTGGGATTAATTTCTCAAAAGTGTTCCAGAAAACTTTCTAAACTTTGTTACTGTATTTTTCTGACATAATAAGTGTAACTTATTAAACAGACTTAAATCTTTGATGAACTTACACTGCTTCAAAGTCGTTATTTTGACATCCGTGACAGTCTTGTAGACAGTGAACTGCAGGAGATTATACAGATGCTGTATTGACCAAAGAAAATACCCTGGAGTTTGCCTTTTTGACTAAACCTCTGATACATGTTAGCTTTGCTTTGATTTAACTCTTACTTTCAAAACTGAGACACAGTCAAAAGAAGACACCAGAGTACTAAACACTAGAAAGCACTTAGGGAAAATTAAGTATTCGTTGAATAAGATCTACTCTGTAAGTGAAAGTCCACAAAGGAAATCATAGAACCACAAACCTATGAGGAATACAGTCACATTCCCTTCACCTTACAGCCGATGGGAATAAGGTCAGACCATGCAAAGTGATTTACCCAAATCCAACTGACTGGGAGGAAGAAGAACTACAACACTTGTCTTTGACTCTCTTGAATGTACAATAATTAAAAGTGAATTTTTTAATGTTTAGTTGGTACTCAAAAAAATAAATCAATGAATGAATGATATGTTTTCCACATAAATCTATGGAGTATAAATGAAATCTCTGGGAAAAGAAAAATACATTTCGGAAAACTTCTAAATTTCATCCTCATAGCTGCATGTCACCAAAATTTCACTTGAGTATAACTTGGTTTCATTATTACCTTACAGTGCACAATAAATTCTGGCAAAAACTGTATATTTGAAGCTATGTTCACTCTTCTGGGTGGTGGGAATATTTCTCAGTGGACTTCAATAACTCAGTATCAATTTGTAGTCTAGGACCCCCAACTCAACAATTTTTAATGATCTATTAATGTTTCCCAGTCACTAGGAAAACTGTTTAACAAAAATATCATAAGTTATATAGGAATTATTTAAAATTATGAGTTCAAAAGTGATCTTCAAAGATGTTAATCTTGAATTAATATAAAATCGTGTTTAGCATCATAGGAATGATAGTTGAGAAATGAATCTAAAATTGTACATGCTACAGAAAGGCAAATATTTTTAATTTAAAGCCTTCTCCACCATCTCCAGTATCTCCCTTGTTTAAGATATAATTTGGTAATAAAACTGATGATACCTGCCTTCATTGTGATTTACGGGTAATTAGATGTTACAACTGAACCATTAAGTGAGAATGAACCCCAAAGGGCACTCAGCCAGATAATTAACAGAGACAAAGCGAGTTAATTATCACCATAAAGCTCAAACTAGAGGAACTGATATAAATATCTAGTGGACTCTACTTGTGGTTGACCCCTTTGTGCTCCATGAATTCACACTATACAATCTTTTTCTTACATTTAAATGGACTTTGATATAAGAAAAGTTCACAGAATCAGGAAAATGTGTACAGGGAGGGAGGAAGAAAACTTGCACCGGAAGTCCCCACTGGGTTCTGGAGAATTTCTTGTAAACCAAGAAGTGTGAAAGTCTAAATATGAAGTTGGGACCCCCTCAGCCATGTGACTGACAACCATTCCCACTTTGGAGCACACAGGAATTATGAATATTTTAGAGCAGCTTCCTCCATGCAGCTGTAGGAAATTATTCCCAGCTCACCACCAGAGGCCTCTTGAGTCCATGGGAGTCAGGGAGGAAAGAGGGAAATGCAAATTGGAGTGCTGGGATGCTTTTTGGAGTTGCACATCTGACAAAAGAACAGTGAAGATTAAAGGAAGGGGTGAGGGGAAAGAAGTCTGCTTTGGTAGGTTTAATAAATATTCACGATGCATCTTCAGTCTTCATTGACTGTGTAGATGCTGTTTCATGAGACAATCCATTCTATGCCCAAATAACCAACGTAAAAAACAAATTTTATAAAATACCACTCATTTGTAAATTGGGAATGCACAAAGATTTTAATGCCCAAGTAAATGACAGTGAGACCGAAAAGTTTTTTAAACACATAATACTGTGAGAAATACTGACAGAGCAGGGCCTTTCCAGACTCTGGCACACATGGGATCCTCCTATTGGTCACATGCCATCTAGTCTTTACCTTTGATTGTGCAATTATGGCACTTGTTTTGCCATTTTTTCCTGACAAGATAGTAAAGCTTCAGGCTTATTCACAGGTGATACTGTATGTTATAGACGCGTGAAATCTTTCTTTGAATCTTGCACACAGGATCCAGAGGCTTCTGTGCTGGGGAAGAGGGTGTGAAGGGAAATGAACAGGATGTTGACCCTCTGCATAGTAGATCTGCTTTAGAGCAGAGAAGGAACTGGCCTCTTGGTAGAGATATTGCAAGGCTGTTTATGCACTCACAAGTGTACATTTATCACTTTACTAAATTTATTTTACATTTGCAATAGATAAAAGATGATGAATTATCAAAATCTCATCAAGAAACAGAAAATTCTGAGTTGTTCCAGAATTACTATTCAAAGGTGTTCCTTCAGGAAGATATGCTATTTTTCTTACTAAATACAAGCAACTCGCTGGGGTCTCCAATTGTTGCCTTAGTAAATGATTTTTTTAATGAACACTGGCCAGACTATAGTCAATGCCTAACTCAAAACGTGACTATCCACCCACTGTCAAAGGAAAATAAATCCCCCAAGTCTTAGATTTTACATGTGAGGAAACTCAGACTGAAAGAGTTTGTATGGTCTACTCATCTATATCATTTTTTCAAGTTACCCTTTAGGACTATTTTGACTCCAAATCTCTGCTTTCCACAGTCTCAACTCCATATCTCTGTTAGTGATAGGAAAAACAACATAGTGTCTGATTCTTCTGTAGTGAAAATTAGAAAGCTAAGTATCATTTTAATTGACTCATCTGTGAAACAGATACAGAGCAGTCAAGAAAAAGGGAAATGAAGTTTGTTTAATTATACTAATAGTAAGATAAGAATAAGAATCAACACTATGTAAGAGAAACATCTTCCTACATCTGTAAAGAAACATCTTCCTACATCTGTAAAATTGGACAAGGATTCTGACCTACATGAATCACTACTGCTATGGATTATAGGTGGAGACATAATAATATCGCCTTTGACTATAGACATGTACAAGAGATTTGAGATGCAAAAAATAGCATGCTGTACAATAAGAGTCCATTTCAATGAATATTAGGTTATACATGTCAGAAATTCCACTAAATCACTCATAATGTCTTAAATATGGGGGAGTGAAAGCACGGAATACAAAACATACAAGTACACATCACATAGAAATCTACCAAATGCACTTATTTGTCATAAAAAGGACTGAAATATTGATATGTTTGATCACAGCAAGGAGGAGGACTTTTTTTCCTATTAATAAGTTATTTGATTTGACTTTATTCCTAGTGTTTTCAATTAGGTGAAGAAACATTTCCAAATTTAAAAGGCTAAGAAATATTTCCAAATCTGAAACAGTTAAGTTCAAAATGACTGTGTAGTGTTTCTTCTGCCTTCCTTTTCCATTTGTACTTAAAGACCGACTCAGTAACCTTTCTACTTCAAGTCAGAAGGGAGAGTGAGATTTGCTTACCAGTTTGTTACTTACTGTGACGGCTCAAGGGCTGTGTAAACCTCATTGATTTAACAGATATTTTTTCTGGCTTGTTCTACATGCATTCTCTTCAGCACACAGAATACTAGGCAAGCCTTGCTGTAAAGAATCCTCTTGTCGGGAAGATCCTGTATGCCAGAATGCTCATCTGACTTTATGTAGCAGGAACCAGAAGGCCAATGTCTACCTTGGCAAGTGCTGCCCAGGATCAACATGGTGGCAGTCGGCCAAGAGTAACTGCATGACAGAGCTCTGGTGTGTCACTGACTTCTATGGCATTCAAACAAAGGGCAACACTTACAGTTTTGGAAGCATTGGAGAAATAAAAAGTGCAAAACTTCTCAGGCCGTCTCCTCTAAATGAGGAGAAGAGAAATGTGGCTTTTCAAACTCTTATACTAGGAATCTTCACATACTCTCTCTGCCCAATATCCATGAGTAGTTCTGCTGCAGGAAATGTTTTACATTCTTCCTATGCATTGTTTCCTCCCTAGAACACTTGAAAAATAAACTGGAAGAATATATGGCTCGATTTTCCAAAGTGAGAATTCTTCGCACCAAGAAAAGGGAAGGACTCATCCGAACCCGACTTCTGGGGGCATCTATGGCCAGGGGAGAAGTACTGACGTTTCTGGACTCCCACTGCGAGGTCAACGTGAACTGGCTGCCCCCACTGCTTAGTGAGTACATGATGTCACTGTGATATGCTGAGAACCAGGAGAGCTGAGAGAATTGGGGTCCTATAGCAGGAGTACAAGGCTTGCTTCTGTCTAAACTGCAAACAGCAAAAGCTACAGACACTTCCTACAATTTTGACAGTAAAGTACTTGAACAATATCTTAACCATTGATGAAGACAAATAGCTAGAAAATGGCATTTAGATGGCATTTTAGATGATACCAGCTGCAATTTAACTTAAGGTTTAAAAAGTTGCTTTTATCTCAGACATCTTTCTTAATCACAATTATATTCATTGGGCAAATACTACAAGAAAAAGATTCCCCCAAACTTTTTTCAGTCATTTAATGCAACAAAATTAAAATACACACACCTTCACATTTTAACAATTATTACAAGATTGTTAAAAAAGGAGGGAAGGAATTATTCAGCCTCAGAATCTAAAACGTAGAGATTTTGACAGGTTATTTGATTTTTTTGTTTGTTTGTTTTTTGTTTTTTAGGGGTTTTTTTTTGAGATAGGGTTTTGCTGTTTAGTGGAGTCTGGTCTTGAACTCATGATGTAGTCCAGGGTGGCCTCGAACTCATGGAAACCCTCCTGCCTCATCTTCCCCAGTGCTGGAATTACACACATGTACCATCATGCCCAGCTCATTCTATGGCTGATAGTACCATTTCCTTTTGTTCTTCTTTCCACTTCTGGTACCATCCTATATCCCTGAGTATATGACCTCCCATATTCACAAAGAACCCCTGCAAATACTTCAGTCTGCTTTCCAGGTAATAAGTTTTAAATGTTTACTACATAACTAAGATGAAAGACAGAAGGAAACTATGCCACATCACACTTGGACTGTTAGAAACATGAATAAACTGAAAGTAATTTAAGCTAGAAAATGTAACTGTAGCTCAATTTAAACTTCAATATTTTTGTTCTTATTTTACAATGAAGTCCAATATAAACTCCACTTGTAGCCAAAAAAAAAAAAATTGTACTTTTGAAAGAAAAGTCAGTCTAAGAAATTCTTGGTACATATATATTGTGCTCCTTCCTATTCTCCCAGATTTTGCCAAATAAGCTTTTACTGTAAATCTATATCCCTTGCCTTGGAACTAAAGCCAGTAACAACTGCCTTCACAATAGCTGTCTCAGAAAGAATGATTTGCTGTTGACTGCTAAGTAAGATGTCAGCTCAAAGCAGTCAAGCTTCATTGGTAAAATACTGGGGTGGGGGGCGCATCTGAAACTGTATAGAATTTAAAACAGAGAACACTCAGCAACTAACCCCCCACCATATCACCCAATCCACATACGCTTGCACAGATGACTGCCCAGCCATCCTAATGATAGGAATGTCTCAGTGATCCAACAGTCAGAGACTCCTGTAAGCCTTTAATTAAAAGTACCTTGTCCAAGGACATAGCAATTTAGAGCTTCATCAGGAACAGCAAGATTCCCTTAAACTGAATTTGACCTATATGGTGTTGAATACTCAAAAAGTCAGCAAAAGGCCTCACTTATTTATGAACCAAAGCAGCCCCTAAGTGCCAATTATGGAGCCTTTGATTGTTTACTATGAATCTAATAAAAGAAAAAGAAGAAGAAGACAAAAAAAGAAGACACAAACAGAGAGGAAGAAAGGCCCATAACCCACTTTTTCTCATTAAGCATTTCATTTCCTGTAGGCCGGACGGATAAGGAGTGATTCAAGCTTGGAATTGCTATCTTTTTTTATTTTTCTCTATCAGTGTCTTGACATATCACCCAAAATGAAAAAAGCAGGCAGAGTCACAGTTTCTTGACTCATTTCTCACCTTGGGATTATACCTGAATTTCAATTTCCTATTAAGAGTCTGTTTGTTTGATCCCTGGAAATTGAAATGTAGGCACAAGCCTTGGATGAAAAATTAGTCATGCAGCTTTCACCCTAAACTTGTACAGCTGGATGAGGGCTGAAAGGAAATTTGAAGGAAAGTTGACAGTGAATTTAGCAGACTCATTCTCTTAGGGTCACCTTGCAACTCCTTGTTGGTCAAGGAACTTGTAAATCAACCTGATTCTGAATTTGATTGAGAAAAGTCATAAAACCTTAATACTGAAATCCCCACAGAGGTGATAGAAGCATTTTGATGTCTCATTCAAACACATCTCTGGGGAAAATAACATTTACATAAAGATTAAAACCCATTTATAAAGGCTTGCCCAGGACAAAATGAATATTTACAGAGCCGCTGATGGAGGTTAACTTGAAGTAGTGCAAAGGGTCTTTCCATCCACCAATTAGCTGAAATACCACACAAACAACACCCAGGGTCTCTGAGGCTTCCTGGGGATATCCTCCCTAGTGAAAATTGCAGTCCTTGCCAAATCCCAGCATTCCATATTCCCCCTCCCTCTTTTATTTGCCTTCCGTCTCATTCATTAACTTGTAAGATAGTATCCAATCTATTTATTGCACTTTTAATTGTTTTTCCTCCATTCCTGACTTTTTAAAAAATTATTATTGTTTATTGGTACAATGTAGATATACACAGTGATCACACTCATCATAGGGAATTTGTACCTATACATGATGTATCCTGTTTCCTCTTTTTCTTTTTTCTTTCCAATCCCCTCTCTTCCTTTCAACCACTCTTCCTCTCCTCATTTACAAAGTCCATTCCTGACTTTTGTGGTGTTGGTCACTGCTCTGTCCCAAGAAAAGTGACTGGCTCCTCTTAGATTTTACTCCATAAACGATTTTTGAAATATGAATAAAAGAATGAATGAAAGAAAAGGAATGTAGATTTGAAAGGAAATCCACAGGATTTTGCGGTCTTCACATCTTGTTTGACTAGCATCACCAAAATGAGGTCACTTCTAATGCAGCCTTTGTTTCCTGTCCTACGCTTAGCAGAAACTTCTGAAGCAAATGATCGGTTCCCTCACTGTGACAGCTAACCCTAACACAAATTTCGTTTGCTTTGGGATCTCTAGGAAAACTGTGATCCAGAAATAACCAAACTCCGTAATATTTCCAAGTGATATCCCTTGTTTAATGTCACATGCCATATCCAAAGGTCTTTCAAATAACAAGAGAGCGGATGTTCACACTTAAATGTTCTGCCTATCAGAGAGTATTGGTTTGATATAATAAATACTGGTTAAATGCACATTTTGGAAAGAAAGATACTTCATGTATAGCTATTTGAGACCAGTGAAACTATGTGAGTGCCAATTCCTTGTGCCAGATATTAATGGTATCACAATAACAATATCTATATGGGAAAAGAAGATGCTGGAATGTCATTTCTTAACTACAGTAATCTACAGAGGCCAAGTTTTTCAGCTGGGCAGAGAACCCATCCTGGTTATTCCCATCAGAACCTGAGCAACATTTAACAAGTTATTTAAGCTCTCTGAGCTCAGTTTCTCTGTTCAATAAATCTAGCATGGCTATTACTGAATAGCTACTTTACATGTTTACTAGGAGTATTAGACAGAGCATAAATATAAATGGCTTAGTGGTAGCTCAAGAGTTGTAGCTGTAGCACCGTGGTTTTTTTTGTATGGGATGAGAAAAGACAAAATTTGTATGACTTTGATGAATGGTGGGAAAATATTCCTGGACAAAGTCTCTGGCAAGCCTGAGAGCAAAGAACTTTATGTATGATCTGTCAGCATTTATGGAGGAACAGCCATCATGAGTGTTATGAGATTAGATGCTACAAAAAAAAAACATAAAGTTAAATATTTACATTTTGGAACCTCCAGAAAGCAGGCCAGTATTTTCTCAGCAGGCCCTAGCTCTATGCTTGAAGGAACACAAATACTGTTTATACTCTGCGCATGTTGAATACACGATAAAATGACAGATTGGGGACAGGTCAGAGCAAAAATGTGACAGAGGTAGAGCTAAATGGACTTCTGCAAGTCTCTCTGGGACATAACTTTCTTAAAGAAAAACACAACAACTCTAATTGTACCTAATCACTGTCCCATCATGTTAAGTCCAGCAATCAGAGTCCTACAAAGTGCTCTAATGATGACAGGGAGCCAAGGCTGCAAATGCTATGCATTAGCAACAAGATATGGACTTCTCTCTGCTGGAAAATGATAGATGACCTAGGAAGGCATGTCATTTCCTATTTTGTCCTTTCGTTTTTCAGACCAAATTGCACTAAACCACAAAACCATCGTGTGTCCCATGATCGATGTCATTGACCACAATCACTTTGGGTATGAGGCACAAGCTGGGGATGCCATGCGAGGAGCCTTCGACTGGGAAATGTACTACAAAAGAATACCCATCCCTCCAGAACTCCAGAGGGCAGATCCCAGCGACCCTTTTGAGTGAGTAGCAGCTGAGTGAGGGGCCAAGGGAGAGAGGGCAGGTAACTCATTCCAGGCTTGTCAAACCTAGGACCTATGAGGACAATTATCTCTGATAAGATGGAATAAAACAGGTGGTAACAACATGCACAACACCAGAGAAAAGTCAGACCTACAAACTGTAGAAAATTACAAATTGTGGTGAATGCACAGATCACTCCTCAAATGTTACTAACCATAAGAGAAACTGTGTGTGGATAAAAAGAATCAGGAAAGTGTGGCGGTAACAGAAAATTCATGGAGAAGGATTGCACGTTCTCCTTTTAGATTCTGTCTTTTGGTTTTCAGGGATTTTTTTTTAACTTTTCATGAAAGGAGTATGAAAAAAGGATTGATACAAAATATGAACCAAAATATGAAGCTTACATGCACACATCCTTTTGGGAATCATCTCTTTATAGCAGAAGGCAGTGCTTCTGAATAGATATTTCCATAACTTAAACCTGGAAATTTCAATTAAAATATTATATCCTAAGTAAATAAGCTGTGATAATCCTGCCCTAATTTTAGTACTAGCTAGAGAAGAATTTACAACAATAATACATTGATTAGTCTTTAAAAAATAAATTATTTATCTTTCATTGTGGCCAAGAAAAAGAAAACAAAAGGAAATAAGACTCAGTTTGATGACTGTCTAGACCATTAATGATCAATGGTGAAATTTTTCTAACAGTGAGAACAGAGATTGCCCAGGAGGTATTATAGCTATTCCAATACTATAACCTTTGATATTAAAATGTTTATAATTTGAAACTATTATTTTTATTAGTACAAGAAAGATATCTGTGATCAAGGTTTTGTCTTTTTTGTAAAAGTCCATTTGAAATGCATTAAAATCAATATTGTCTTTTCATCAATAATAATTATATGCTTTAAAAGTTTGCAGTAAAGAAGCTATGAAGTATAAAGCTACTTTTGTGACTAACACTTTAAATTTCAATAAGCATTTAATAATTATTAGGACCATGTATCCTCCAATTCCTGCTTTCTAGAAAGATGAACTCCTAGGGAAGCAAAGAGAATTTCAGAGTCATTTGCCAATAAAATGGGAAAGAAGTCATTTCTTTTATAAAAAAATAAAGCAATTTCACTTAATATCTATGCTTGTGGAGTTAAGAGTTTTTCTGACTTAATACTGCAAAGTTTTTGAAATGAAATAGTGTTAGACCTTTATTAGTCCCGAGTATACATTGGCCAAAGTGTCATGAATATTCAAAACTACTAGAAGAGCATTTTAGTTACATAAGAAAACTTCTAGTGAGCATTTGAAGTAGGTCCAGGTGAGGGACATCCTCAGACTTCTTTGAAGGTAATCATTTGAAAGTCTTGGCAAAAGGGCTGAAAATAGAATAAACAGTAAGCGAGTGAGGTGATCCTCATGTTAACTGGCTTGATTTAACCATTCTGAAATGTGCACATATTTCAATACATGTTGTACACCTTAAATATATACAACTTTATATCTAAAATTTTAAAAATAAGTAAGGAGAAAAATGAAAATAAAAACTTACCTCAAATGTTAAAAAAAGTAGAGGGTGGGAATCAGGAATGCAGAAGAGCCCTGAGCACAGCAAAACTGCTTTTAGACAGTAGCCAGCAGTACACCAGCCACAGTGGGGTTCCTGCTACCCAAGGTTACTCTGTTTTAAGCACTAGAATTCATCCATGATGGCTTTCCAAGCACTGTAATATTGACTGATTGTAATGACCTTTCACTTTACTTCCACTGTGGTAGCAAAGTAGGGCCCTGCTTTCTGAAACAGTGAGCTCGGAGTGCTACCAACGGCCTCTCCAGTGGTGAAAATTACGAAAGCATTCTCAGTGCCTGCACAGATGGTCAGATTTTCTGTCAGCCAGACCCCGGCTGCAGCTATCACAGTATCAAGCACCTTGCTTAACTCAGAAGCAGACGGAATTGGTAACTTTCAGAATTAGATTACCACTTGTTCCAGTCACCTACTTAGGTGGCTGCTGTCCTGTCAAAAATCGCATTGGTCTATTGAATATTATTGTCTTTTTGCCTTAAGTCCTTTTGATTCCTACAAATGTAGGCACTTCAGCCTTTTGTAATAAATGTAACTTTCAGGAGTTGTCCACTTTGATCTTAAAAACTGCATTTCCATCCTGATAATAAAAGAGTGGCTACCCAAGCGCTCTGAGCAGTGTATCTGCAATTCCATTATCGTGGCAGTCACCTGAATGTGCTCATAAACAGACATGCTTTAGGCTAAAACTTGCTTCCCTGGATGTAAGGCTGTAAGATACAAAAAACAAAAGCGATCTATCTCTCTGTCTCTCTCCTGGGCTTTCATGTTTCAAGAGGCTGTAGGGATGTGTGCCTTGCTGGGGAAAGATTGGGGAGAACTAAAAAGACAGGATGAAAGGAACTAAAGAAAAATATGCAATGTATTGATATCCCAAGAGCTTTTATATATTTGTAAACAAAATCTTTCCATAGCAAGTTTATCAAGTGTCCTACAGTAAGAAGACCTGAATTTTCTCATTTATTCTGCTATTTTTTCTTTTGAGTTTTCACTATTGACTGAAGCAATGTTTCTCCCAAAACTCCTGTGAAAGGGGTGGGACATGATCAATATTTAATTTATTAATGTATTAGATCGAATGGATTAAAAATTTCAGAGTATTATACTATCACATAAATATGTGTTATTTCTCAAACATTTTATTTTGGTTTTAATGTATGCATGATCCTGGGATATGGTATAAACAATATTTCTTAAAATAGGGTTCACAATTTAAAAATTTGGGGCTGGGGATTTAGCTCAGCGGCACAGCGTCTGCCTGGCAAGCTCAAGGTCGTGAGTTCGATTCCTGGTACTGGGGAAAAAAAAAAAATTTAAAAATCTGAAATCCATCAATTCCTAAACTGGGACCAAGACTTTCAATAATCTGACCAGGAAAGAAAAGGAAAACTCATGGGTGACTTTGACTCTCGAAAAAATATTTATTTATACTTGTAGAAGCATCTAGTTTTCAGAAAGACTGAACCCAGAATATGAGAGAAATGTAATATTCATGATTCTAATCATATGGCATTCCTAATTCTGACTGAAATGATTGAATACATTTCAGGGACATTTTTGTTTTTTACTTAAAGAAAAACATAGTTTTTCCCCTTTAAAGACTTATATAATGTGATGAAATGTTTTTAAGAGATTCTTATCATTCATGGCTTTTAGGGCTCCTCATTCTTGTTGCATTTTGAATTCAGAGCACTTAAGAATGTAACCTTTTTCTGTAAGATTAAAAAAAGCACACTCCTTTGGCCATTATGACAAAGAGGAATATGGTCATTTGCTGTCTATTAACTTATTTCTTCAACTTTAGCATCTAAACATTTAGAAAGAACCAGAAGAAACGATGGTTCCTTTCACAGCAAGTAAGCACTAGGTAGTGTCCAGGTTAGTATCTAGCCTCTGCTTAAACAGAAAAGTAAGTTTACTGCCCAAAAGACAGCCTATTCTATTGACAGAAATCTTTTCTTTGTGTTAAGAAAATCCTGCCTCCTGATGCGAAATTATCCTACTTGAGATGTAAGGAATGTCTAATTCCTCTTCAGTGACAGAGATGCTTAAAGTGTTTTTAGAAAGATGTCACATCTCTGCCTGTGCTTTCTGAGGGAAGAGGAAAGAAAGTTTTTTTTTTTTTTTTTTTTTCCCTAGGGTGGATATTTCCTCCTGTATCTCCATATTATCCAGGTCCTCCAGAACCTTATAAACATTCATGCTTGTTGATACAACTGTTCAATATACATAAATCCACTTTACTGCAATTCACATTTCTCCAACTTGTTCCCAAGGATAGCATGAAACATTTCATCCAATATACCAGAAGCTCAGGTCCTAATATACAACTCTGTGAAGCATAAAAGTGAAGTTAATATGCAGAGAATTGCACTGGTTCTGAGAAATAATGCTTCCTTTACCTAAGCACTCACAATCAATCCAGCAGTTCATTTCAATTTTACAAGTTGACTCTGTTTACCAAAATTCACCTCTATCTTGTCACTGATTTGTAGAGAAATTACTTATATGCAATCAATCTTTTTCAGATCTCCATGTTTCCAGACTTCCAAAATGTAGAGCTTTAATCATCATAGGTGGAATTCTGACACATAACCACTAGTGAGGACTGACAACACTTTCTACCTATATATCCGACCAATTTCCAAAAATGTAAAAACTAGTGTATCTACCCTGAGGAGAGAAAATTCAGTGACTATGAACATTAGTTTATTCTCTCAGAATTCTCTACGTCCATAGGAACATCCGTGTGAAGCCAGTGACTTCTCATCTAGTGTCACTGTCCAGTACAGAAATGACCCAAGCCATGGAAAGCAATAGCTATGTCCCACTGCTAAGCACCTCAAGGTTGTCACTTCTAACAGTAAAGCTTCCTCGAGCACCTAAGGGCCAAATGTGGAATCCTTGCATAGTTCCCACATGTGAAGCATAGCTTGTGCTAAAATGGATTCAATATTCTCTATTACAGAGATTGTGTAACTGCTGTATGGAAGCAATGCCTTCCAAAAACTTACTTACAGTGTCTTTCTTTGTTTTTCCAGGGGACATAGTACACAGTTTGTTGATTTCTTTCTTATGTAAGTGTGTGAGAACCTGGGTGTGGTGGCACACACCTGTAATCCCAGCACTATGAGAGGCTGAAATAGGAGAATCAAAATCCAAGGCCTATCTGGGCACCTTAGGGACTTGGTGAGATCCTGTCTCAAAAATTAAAAAAAAAAAAAAGAAGGACTGAAGCTATAGTTTAGTGGGAAAGCCGTGAGTTCAATCTCCAGTACTGCAAAAAGCATGTGAGAAAGTGTTCTGTCTTGGTTACTTTTCTCTCGTTACTGGGACAAAATACTTGATGCTCAAAATTAAGGAAGGAAAAGTTTATTTTGCTTACAGTTTGTGGAGGTTTCAGTCCATACTTGGCAG